TGTGTGTGTGTGTGTGTGTGTGTGTGTGTGTGTGTGTGTGTGTGTGTGCGTGTGTTGTTCGACTCTTTCCTTTACCTGTAGAGTTACTCCTTTGCTTTATTAACAAACGGGGGCAGAAATATATTAATGTCGTGAATATATTTTCGTGACGAATACAGCTCTATCGTAAAAACAAAAACATAGGCATACAAAATTCTGCTCTGAGGGTATATTTAAGACTGTTGTGTTCAGAAAGGATGTGCCACTGTACGCTTCTTATTTCTTGCATTTGTAGTTACTGTTGTTGTTATATTTTTTGTCTTTAATTCTTCGTATCAAATTTAAAACCAAAGCCTTTTTTGTGTGGTGTGAGGGGGGTGGGGGGGTGGCTTTGTTTATTTTGTGCTTTTATATTGTGAGAGTAACACTTGCAATGCCTTATCTTTCGAGTTGGTTTAGTTTTGTTTCGTATTTCTGTGTGTGTGGTTGTTGTTTTGTTTTTTAAAGTCTATTTTTATAAGCTTATCTCACGACACTCAGAATCTTCAATAACCCTTACCACAGTAGCGATATCCCGTTCTAGGAGATATATATAGATCTAGGTCCCCGACATGAAAACGTGTGCAATTCACGTGAAATGAGCTACTTAGGAATTCTCCGCACGTTTACTGCACTTTTTCACACGTGTGGTAAGGTTATGTCACCGCTGGGTTCACTATAACATTATTATTGTGGTCTTCAGCAAAAGCGGTTGATGGGTCTGTTCTTGCTAGGTTTGGCTTTCAAAGTGTCCTTGCTTGTTTCTGAAAAAGAAGATAAGAGTAGAGATGTTTATTACTTTCTCAAATTTTCATAGTCGAAATGTTAAACCTTTGTCAACACACTGGAAGAGTTATTAACGGTGGCTAATTTAAAAGACAAGCGGGCTAACACAGATTTCGGTTGTTTCCAGAAATCTTGATTTACACCAAAGTGGTCATTGCCCTATTGATAGGAGAGGCTTAGTTTCATTAGTGTGTATTTTGTTTGGTTATAGAGAAAGATTTCCTTGCCTGTAAAGAAACTGAACAAGGGTCCAACAAGTTTACCTTTGATTTTCTCAAAACAGCTTAAAAGCGAGCAATATTACGTGTCATAATGCAGTGGAATCTGGCGTTCGTCAATACTCGAGCAGATGGAGTTATTGGTATTAAATTAAAGCATGTCCACTTATCTTTGCTGTAATGAAATAACCCAACCTATTGTCTTGAACAGATGTCGAGATATTTGCGGTTGAAAGGGGTGGGGGTCACTTGGTGCCTGGTGTAACATTAGCTAGGAAATAGCAACCAAAATGTAGTTATTTCCAAACTTTGAGTGTCGCTGAAAACTTCAAATGTACATTTCTTCATCCTTGTGGTCACTGTTCTTCAGTGAGATGGGCACAGAAACGTGCTTTTAAATGGATCTTAAAGGTGTTCAGCCAAAAAAGTTTAAAAAGAAATATATTAAAAGAAAAAAATACCCAAATGCCAAAAAGGTTTAATGCCGGTTACTTCGATTTCATTTTTTTTT